CCCCAAAACCCCAAAACCCCAAAACCCCAAAACCCCAAAATAAATTTTGGTAATTGGAATAATTAAAATGGTAAGCTCTCACTCTACCAGCACTAGTCTGATAATTCTCAATAACAGAACAAAATTTCCCTTTTTAAAATCAATTTTCACCTAAACTCCTTCCGGAATTTCTTCTACCTACATAAAATTTAGCCAAAATTTGCTTAAAACATCTCCAATGTTCTCTATCATCACTCCCAAGCGTAGTTTATGAAACATTGGTGTAGGAACACAAAGCCAAAAAGAGGGGAAACATCAAAAAGACAGAAGTAGTCAGACTCATTCATGGCTCTGTGCACAAGAGAAGATTCAAAAGAAGGAAAATTATGAACCAGCAGAAGTTAATAAGGTAAGTTATTACCGAACAGATAGTTACCTGATTACTCTTAATTTTCTTGGGTTGAAATTAATATAGAAAGTCTTTGATGAATCATACCAAGCCAATGCTCAACCTGAAGACCAGGCCCAAGTCATGTAAGTCTTTTCAGAGAATCGTCTGATAATGTAGTGCTAAATTTCAATAATTCATCATCAAGAGGCAAGGCTCCGAATAAGCGTGGAAAATGGATCCTCCTGGCATATAGTTTTAGTCAATATAAGAATATTAACTCAAAGAATCGGAATAATAGCCTGAGTGTACCCAAGATATCCCAGAATATGAACAGCTTGGCACTTGACGAGAAAGAGCTAACTGTTCATAGCAATAGCAAAAGGAACACAGCTAGCAGCTTCAATTTTCCTTTTGGAAATCGAGGTAATTTTCATCGAAAAATCTAAAGAATAATGCCAAATTTGCACTTCCTTCAGCACCTCAAATTGTCTTTGTATGTAGATAGGAGAAAAGACTCAGATCTGAGGTCTGAGATGAGCCATAGAAAAGAAAACAGCAGTATTCTGAAAGACATCAAGGATCAGAAAAGTAAGTTCTCTAGTCCAAGCTTACTGGTGGCACAAACTGACTGGGCGGGTGAAATGTTTCTGTTAATATTTTTCAACTCTATGTGAATAGTTACTCTCACTAATTCTTTGATAAATTCGAACGATTTTCTTCTTGATGAAAATCTGATCCTGTGTTGCCGAGTCTGTAAAATATCAATGGATTTGAACATACAAGATAGACATACGGCGGGGAGATTTAATCCTGATGTAGGCAAACTCGAACAGAAAATGCATAATACAAGATCTTTCACACTTTCCAGACAGAGTAGAAGGAGTAAGAGGGGTGAGGGAAAATCATTCGTAATTTTGCTCATCGGGAATTTAATGAACGTTTTTGAATAGGAAGACAAAGAACTCCTAGTGAAGAATATATGAGATTACCTTCTGTTAAAGTTAAGAATATTCTAAGCAAAGATGAGAAGAATCCTCAAGAAAACAGTAAGACTGTAAGACCACCAACATGAACATGAAATTCTATGTCATAATTTCAGTGTGCTTAAACTAATTTTTATATAGATAATCAAAGATGATGCGAAGACGATCACAGCAATGTCCAAACTCAGTACTACAGTACAGATTGTCTCCAAAGTGGGGTCCAAGCTAAGAGTCAACTTAAAGAGCGATAATTCTATGGCCACATCAAAGAACAAGGCATTGCCTAAAGCAATAAAAAGGCCAAAGAAAAGTAAGATCAGAAGTAACGCAAATCTGTCATGCAAAAGTGTAAGCATTCATCACTAATTTTGGATTCTTTATATTTCCAGTTGATTAAAACAGGCATAATTACATCAATTTCTCTATAGATTATCGATGAATACCCAAAGACATTATCTTCTCCGGTCGAGCCAGAAAATACTAATCAAAGGGTCCAAAGCACAACTAAGAAAAGAGAGGTTTTGCAGCGTATTCTGACCACAGACTATGCAAGAAATGAGACGAAGATAAATCTCAAAAACATTCTGAAAAAGTACCAGAAGTACAAAACTCCTTCTGATGAATCTCAAGGAGTCTATCGTTCGAAGACTATGGGGAGACTAGAAGAAGTCCAGAATCGGGGTGAGGATTACAGAAAATATCGGGATTACTTAAAGTATTAAACCTTGATTCGTTACTAATCAATGGCCATAGTCTGTGAATGCTTCATCCAAAGTCTTCTCTCAGCCTAGCTAGCTAAGGTTCAACTCCTGAGTATTTTAACGGGGTTTTGGGGTTTTGGGGTTTTGGGGTTTTGGGGTTTTGGGG